AATTTTTGACATCTGACATTTCTAAGAAATCTCTTAAGTTCGCTTATGCATATGCATTTGTCGCCCATCTCTAAGTAACACGCAATTAAATTAAGACGTTAGTAGAACACTAAGCATCGGAATATGCAACGTAAATTCTACATACTAGTATGTATTACAACAACTAATAAACATTAATTTATCCATAAAAAATAAATTCCATTTATTTCAATGAATATTCAATGTAGGCATTTAATATTATCATCTGCATACTATTTGTAAATAGTTATTTACTTCATTATAAAAGGCAATGTAGGAGCCATTAAAAACGACATAAAAAACTTTCACGACAGTGTTATTTATACATAAAAGTAAAGAAGTACTGTAGTATTTACCAAGAACTGTAAAAATAGATGACACAAAGTCAAGAACACCTCACTATAATGATTCACCCTGTAAATTTCCGTACTCGTAGTATATGTACACCTACCTATAAAGAATGTGGAAGCTAACGAACCTGCTTACAATTTACCACAAGAATCAGACATTCATATCTATTTTTTTAATCGGAATTAAATACCTGATGGATAAAAATCTTATCTCGATCTATTAAATCGATAACAACTGATAATATTCGATCGTTACGATACGACAGCCTACTTCATGATGTTTGAAAGAACTCGACGAACCTTATGCGAGATCAGCGCCTTATAACAATATTTTTTAGAATTTGCTACGCTGGCAACTTTCTTAATTTAAAAGGAAAACGTATTTCTTTTAAAATTCAGGAAATAATATAAATTGGGATCTATTATAACTTATTGTTACCGAAATACCCTATTTTTTATTTTTTTTAAAACAATGTTTTTTTAATGTTCGGCTCTCCATCCACATCGATATCAAAAACTATGGTGACTTTAAAATAACACGTAACACGTCGCTAAGTCATACAAAAACAATTTGTTTTATTAAATTATTTTCCATTGTCTCTCTATAATTGGTTTTAAAACTGTAACAACTGGCAACGTTGATAGTGCACTAATACAACTTACCACGATAGCTTCGAGTGGGGTGTGAAGGAGACGGAGGGGGGGGGGGACAATACTTACTGTGTTAAGTAATCATTGCTACCAATGATTGAGATACTTACTTGTAGATATTGAATAAAATCGAGATAAAAGCAGGAAAAAAAACTGTTGAAGAGAAGATTGGAGAGCCACAACCTCCGCACACAGTTCGAGGGCATCAACTAATAGACATAGAGAACATGGCATAAAACATACACTGCTCTTTTTGCAAAGAACTTCTACGTATTTTAGATTATCTAGAAACTGTGATCACGAAGTTATTTGTGTGGGAAAGTTTTAATATTATATTTGGTTACATGCATAAGTGGCATACTGCTATGATGCACTTCTGTGAATACAAATGTTCCTTACAAGGGTTTAAAGCGATTGCAATTTTGATTTAATGTAGTATTATACTGTAATACGATGTTATTTCAACCAAAATATTCTAAAAAATATACTGAAATTATTGATAATAATAATTTATTTATTTTCCGTTAGACAATTACAATAACTGTATAGGAATAATCGGTTCTAAATAAAATTACATTAAAAGTAACCCTAACAATAACAATAAAAGTTGGACACACTCCTATCACCAATTTAGTCTTGTGCATAGAATTAATTTATGCCATAAAAGCATCTGTCGACAAGGTATTTTTTCAGCTAAGATCTAAAATAATTTATATATTTTATCTCCCTTAAATACCGTGGAAGTTTATTAAAAATTTGTACACCAATGTAGTCTTATAAAATGGTAAATAAAATTATTTTTTTTTTGCCTAGTATTAACATTATGAATATCTTTAACTAATTTATAGTCACCAATATTCNGGGGGGGGGGGGGGACAATACTTACTGTGTTAAGTAATCATTGCTACCAATGCTAAGAAAAATATTCTTTATGAGTAGAAAGTAAATAGATTGAGATACTTACTTGTAGATATTGAATAACATCGAGTTTAAAATACTTATAATATAATTATATATTTCCATCTTTTAATTAATATTTTTACCCAATAGAAACTTGGCAACAGCGCACAAGTATGCCTAGTTTATTATTTCTAAGTTGGTAGTCCTTGTCATGTATATAGGTATACGATGCTATATGATCGCTCGCACAGCTGATTGTTTTAAACTATAAAATGTAGGATGAAGAACAGTCGGTAGAAAGGAAAAGTGACCAAGGAAGGTATGAGTGCTTGACAATTAGAACAGAAAATAGCAAAAGCAGGAAAAAAGCAGTTGAAGAGAAGATTGGGGAGCCACAACCTCCGCACACCGTTCGAGGGCATCAACTAATCGACATAGAGAACATGGCACAAAGCATACACTGCTCTTTTTGCAAAGAACTTCTACGTATTTTAGATTATCTAGAAACTGTGATCACGAAGTGATTCGTGTGGAAAAGTTTTAATATTATTTGGTTACATGCTACTATGATGCACTTCTGTGAATACAAATGTTCCTTACAAGGGTTTAAAGCGATTGCAATTTTGATATAATGTAGTATTATACTGTAATACGATGTCATTTCAACCAAATTATTCTAAAAAATATACTGAAATTATTGATAATAATAATTTATTTATTTTCCGTTAGACAATTACAATAACTGTATAGGAATAATCGGTTCTAAATAAAATTACATTAAAAGTAACCCTAACAATAACAATAAAAGTTGGACACACTCCTATCACCAATTTAGTCTTGTGCATAGAATTAATTTATGCCATAAAAGCATCTGTCGACAAGGTATTTTTTCAGCTAAGATCTAAAATAATTTATATATTTTATCTCCCTTAAATACCGTGGAAGTTTATTAAAAATTTGTACACCAATGTAGTCTTATAAAATGGTAAATAAAATTATTTTTTTTTTGCCTAGTATTAACATTATGAATATCTTTAACTAATTTATAGTCACCAATATTCTTAAAAATATGCAATAAAAACACCAGTAAGCGTTAAAATCTTACAACCTTTAAATATATCTCTACACGAATAATATCTAAAAACGTCAGCTGCACATCTTAAAATTCTTTTTTGTGCTAAAACACATCCGAAGCCAAGGAGGAGTTACCCCAAAAGATTACTCCATAATCCAGTCGTGATCCTACCTGCGCATGGTATAAACATATTAGTTGTTCTTTAGATAAGATCGGTTTCATATTTCTATAGTACATTGTGTAACGAGTGGGGACTTTTCCGAACAAGTTGCACATACTGTTTATATGCTGCTGTATTTTTTACTTCTTGTATTGAAAGTTTATCGTACTTTATAAATAAAAAAAAATCAAAAAACATAGATACTTCATTTGAAAATTTCCCATTTTATTTTATTATTCCAAATCGAATTACACAAATAAACACAAGTTGAATGTAATCCATTTCTAATGACTAAGTTGTGTACCGAAACGTTTATTTAAATTTCCCGCCACCTATCATCATTCATACTCTATTTCGCTGTTGCCGTTACTCCTTCGCGTTTTTTACTTGGCAGACGACAAGTCACAACTTTTAATACTTGATAATTTATTTCTCTGTGAAATGTGTGATAACCTACTTTTTTTCTTCTTCTCATCTATTAATTAATGATTCAGGTAAATGTCTATAATTCGTTCGTCCTACCATTTGCTTTTTTTTCACCCGTAATCCGATTGTAAGGATACGAATCATATTATTTCCCATAAGAATTTATGTTAAATATTCAAATTTTTGGCATTAATTAAAAACAAATCGATAAATAATTCGAGAATAATTCACAGAATTTGATTTCGCACTGCAAAAATAATATATCTCAATAATACGACATTGACTGCATTTTTTCGTACCTAGTATATCGCCCCGCGCCGCCACTGCTTAATACAGTAATGTTATACAAGCCATTTTTTCCGCGACCGAAAAAAATCGACAAAATATAAATCCTAAACTCAGCCTCGTTTTTTTTTTTCAGGAACGGCTCACCGCAAGCNGATTACTCCATAACCCAGTCGTGATCCTACCTGCGCATGGTATAAACATATTAGTTGTTCTTTAGATAAGATCGGTTTCATATTTCTATAGTACATTGTGTAACGAGTGGGGACTTTTCCGAACAAGTTGCACATAATTTCTTGTGATATGTTAATTTTAAAATGAAAAATGATATTAAAAAAGTCATTATTATTTATCAAAATGCATATGATTGTTATATGCGCGGTGATGCAAAGTATAAATATTTAATTGTTTATATACTGCTGTATTTTTTACTTCTGGTATTGAAAGTTTATCGTACTTTATAAACAAAAAAAAATCAAAAAACATAGATACTTCATTTGAAAATTTCCCATTTTATTTTATTATTCCAAATTGAATTACACAAATAAACACAAGTTGAATGTAATCCATTTCTAATGACTAAGTTGTGTACCGAAACGTTTATTTAAATTTCCCGCCACATATCCTCATTCATACTCTATTTCGCTGTTGCCGTTTCTCCTTCGCGTTTTTTACTTGGCAGACGACAAGTCACAACTTTTAATACTTGATAATTTATTTCTCTGTGAAATGTGTTATAACCTACTATTTTTCTTCTTCTCATCTATTAATTAATGATTCAGGTAAATGTCTATAATTTGTTCGTCCTACCATTTGCTTTTTTTTCACCCGTAATCCGATTGTAAGGATACGAATCATATTATTTCCCATAAGAATTTATGTTAAATATTAAAATTTTTGGCATTAATTAAAAACAAATCGATAAATAATTCGAGAATAATTCACAGAATTTGATTTCGCAATGCAAAAATAATATATCTCAATAATACGACATTGACTGCATTTTTTCGTACCTAGTATATCGCCCCGCGCCGCCACTGCTTAATACAGTAATTTTATACAAGCCATTTTTTCCGCGACCGAAAAAAATCGACAAAATATAAATCCTAAACTCAGCCTCGTTTTTTTTTTTCAGGAACGGCTCACCGCAAGCGGACATGGTTCCCTGACGCTGAGCAGCAGTTCTCCGGGATACAGTGCAAGCGGTTCCAGTGCACACCACAGGGGTTCCGGAGGCCTGCACCACACTACGGCGATGCAACATCAACTGCCACAGCCCGACTTCCAGCCCCCGTACTTCCCGCCGCCGTTTCACCATCCGCCTAGTCCACCCCCGCAACAACACCTGGATTACCTCACCGACCCCTACGGAGGACTCTCGGGACTTCATCACTACAACCAGCTGGGGCTTCGACCGCGAGAAGGTGACAGCAATCATACGCACGTTGTAAGTTTCCTTCGAGCAGTATTTAGGCTTATAGTATTTTTACTATTTTTGCAATGTTTTCGTGGTCATACAGCAACCACATATACCACATTGAAAACTAAAGTAGATAGTCTAATATTGTAGAAGAACTTTGCAGTTTTCTATAAAATAAACCGGGACAAAACAGCAAACACGCCATTTACCTCTACTTATATCTAGTATGTAAGTCAAGAATGATCCCAGGGGTTCTCAAAAAGCTTTAACAATTTTTTATTATTTTAGCAGTAGTTTACTGCTAATTCTTTGGAAAATCTCGAAAAACATGATAAAATACGTTCAATATTAAACTTTCCTTCGAAATGGGGCAAAAGAATTTTAACCGTGCTGATTAGCATAATAGACTGTTTTGGTTTGGGTGAATCGTATATCCACGGAGATTTTTGGCTTTTTGGCTTTCAAATATCACTAGAAATGAAAATTTTTCTATGCGCATAAAAAAAAACGTGGGCTTAACTTTTGGCGGCACAATATGTTNCTTGCCGTAGTTTATGAGATATTTGCGAAAAAGCTTATTTTTTACGGTTTTTTGACCTTTTGACCCCTTTCCTGACCACCTAGGTCAAAAATTTTTGCGGATTCAGATTTCTGAGGGTCGAAAACATATTTGCGCCCAGGTTTGATCGACAGAGGAAAAATGGAGGTTCAGCCTTCATTTCAATGGACTAATACAAAAGTATGCTTTAGTGCCAAACTAGTAGGCAGTGAGTCATTCTCAACATGTAGACCCTTGCAATGGGGAATTCGATTCCAGGGGCGTATCATTTTACAAGGAGAAGCTAAGGTAATCGGATTTTTGTAATTTTTTATATTTATGGTACGTGTAGTTTGACCTTGAATAAGAATTTTCCCGAAGTAGTTCGATGCAACGTTCATAAATTACCGAGATAATCGATTTTGAAGTTTTACCTGACAGCTAAATCCACTAGATGCGACACATGCCATTTTTTTTTTAAACCTATCATATGGTTTTTGTTAGAAACCTCGTATATTTTTATTATTACAAAAACTAATATATTTTCGTATTCAAAATATCCTCAATTACTAGGTATAAACACCGATAAGAATTGTTTATATTATCGGCTTCACACTTGAGCGGGGAACGCCCTAACACGCTGACAAGTTAAAATTCCTTTTTCTAACTGCGATTCATATAGTTAGTTGGTTATAGACCTTCCTTTGTATATGACAGAGCCACACAAAAAGTGATTATTAAATAAATATTAACAGAAAAATAAATAAAGAGTTTTATTAAAAAGTCCCATTTCCTGACATTTTTTTATTATTTTTCTCATCTCCAAAATTATGAACGAACGAAATATAATAACTACTTATGTATATGTAGGAATATTATTCAAATATTTAATAAAAATGCACAATTGGTTGATAAACAATATTTATGATGAATTAACAAATGTTTCTTAAAAAAAAAACAAACGAGGTCAGGTAGGTTTTTTATTTTATTTTTAGTATTTGACATTTTACGCAGAATGATAGTTATCATAGAAACATGGGAAGCAGAATTTTTTTAAGCATCTAGCATGTCGTGTAATGTTATGTTTTTACAGGCGCATTTTGTTTTCAAAATATCGACGTCGAAGCAAATTTCGTTAACATTTTGAAAGATTGTTCTTTCATCACACTGTTTCGATGCTTCTCTGCCCTTTGTGGAATTTACCGAAACTTTTTATGCCCGAGCAGGTGTGTTCTGTAAGCGGTTTTTTTAAACACGGAGGACACAGGACGACCCACACAACCTAACTCAAAATGTTAATTAAACACTTGAAGAATATTCCTACATACAGTTCTCGTAATATTTCGTTTGTTCATAATTTTCGAGATCAGAAAAAGAAAAAGAAAGGAAGCTAGATGTTTAAAAAATTTCTGCTTCTCCTTTTTTTATGATAGCTACCATTCTGGCTTGTGCCACACTGTGTAAAATGTCAAATACTAACATAAATATAAAATAAAAAAACATCCTACCTGACCTCGTTTGTTTTTTTTTAAAGAAACGTTATTGTTAATTCATAATAAATATTGTTTATCAACCAATTGTGCATTTTAATAAAATACTTGAATATTCCTACATATACATAAGTATTTATTATAATATTCCGTCTGTTCATAATTTTCGAGATAAAAAAAAATAATAAAAAACCATGGTGCGTTTTGAAAAAACAAAAAAAAATGTCACGCGACGGACTCGAACCAACGATCTTATGACTGTCAGTCCCAAACGCTACCAATTAGGCCACGCTCCCAATTGAAGAAAATGTCACATCTAGTGGATTTAACAATCAGGTAAAACTTCAAAATCGATTATCTCGGTAATTTATGAACGTTGCGCCGAACTACTTCGGAAAATTCTTATTCAAGGTCCAAACTACACGTACCATAAATATCAAAAATTACAAAAATCCGACTACCTTACCTTCTCCTTGTTGGTATTTTTGCAATGTTTTCGTGGTCATACAGCAACCACAGATACCACATTGAAAACTAAAGTAGAACCGATGATTGTCTAATATTGTAGAAGAATTCTGCAGTTTACTATAAAAAAAAAACGGGACAAAACAGCAAACACGCCATTTACCTCTACTTATATCTAGTATGTAAGTCGAGAACGATCCCAGGGGTTCTCAATAAGTTTTAACAATTTTTTATTATTTTAGCAGTAGTTTACTGCTAATTCTTTGGAAAATCTCCAAAAACATGATAAAATACGTTCAATATTAAACGTTCCTTCGAAATGGGGCAAAATAATTTTAACCGTGCTAATTAGCATAATAGACTAGGCGGTACCTGTTTTGGTTTGGGTGAATCGTATATCCACGGAGATTTTTGGCTTTGTGGCTTTCAAATATCACTAGAAATGAAAATTTTTCTATGCGCATAAAAAAACACGTGGGCTTAACTTTTGGCGGCACAATATGTTAAAAAAATTTGAAAAACAACATATTTTTCTTCCTATTTAATTATGTATCTTATGGAAGAGGAAAAAAATGTTTGTAATTAAATTTTCAAAATTTTGCACAGCAAAAGCCAAAGCCCTTCGATACTTACAAATTTAATCACATATAGAAGGGCTCTCAAGCTTTCAAACGTTTTTTTGAAAAATTCGAATTAGAAGAGCTCTGGCGCTTGTTTAAACATTGGTCGAATTATTGTACTTATAAGCAATTAGAATAACTTTGTGAATATTTAATCAAATCAAATTTTTTAAAGCAGGTTTTGAAAGTTATTGGAAAGACGCTTCTTAAAAAGAACATCGATTGGTCAATTAGTTACGTAGTTATAGGCGATCAAAGTTAACCGTCATTTACACTAAATGTACTGCGATATCCGGGCTAGTTTTTCGAAAAATTCCTTTTAGTCCAGTCGGCAGAGACCGAAAAGTTACTGTTGGTGACATTTCCTTGATAACTCGGAAATAACTACACAGGAATACTTTAAATGATGAGTACAATAACAGGCTAATTTGCTGACAAAGTATTTAATCAGGAAAAAAGTTATTAACAATTTAATCGTGAAAAAAATTTGTTTTAATAGTTTTCTTTGAATAACTCAGCGGGATGACTTTGTACGAAAAAAATGCTTAGGACATGATTTTGTTCGTAATAAAAATAGCTACAAAATGGCGGTGGTCCGATTACGAAATTTGCAATAACAAAGCCGTGAGATTGAAAAAA